GATTTGACGGTCCCGGAGGGTCCGTAGGAAAATATGGGACTTGGGTGTATGCCCGGAATCGAATTCCGAGATCCCAAGTCCGAGAAATGAATTTTTATGTGAAATTGTTTTCTGAAAATAATTAAGGAAATTGAAAAATGAAATTTGATTGAAAGACTGTGGTATCGGGCTCGTATTTTGGTTCCGACGCCCGGTACAAGTCTTATATATGGTTTAAGCGCTTTCTGTAAAGTTTGGTGGAATTCGGGCGTCGTTAGACGTGTTTCGGACTAAAAACTCTAAACTTGATGTTTTATGAAAAATTTGGAAGGAAATCATGGGTCTTGAGGCCTAATTTGATGTTTATGATGTTGTTTGGGCGATTTGATCGCACGGATGCGTCCGCAGATGTTTTTGAGTTTATGTGTATGTTCGGTTTGGAGCCTCGAGGGCTCGGATGAGTTTTGAGTAGGTCCCAGGAGGTCTTAGACTTAGAGATATCAGATGCTGTAGGTTTAGGGAATTTCAGGCTCCAGTGCGCCCGCAGTCACCTTAGCGCGGTCCGCGGTGCATGCTGCGCGGCCGCGGTCGTCCATGCGCGGTCCGCGTGGCTAAGTTCAGAGAGCCAGTAGTTTCCAGGTCGACCAGCGCGGCTGCGTCCCCTTTTGCGCGGTCCGCGCTGGAAGATTCAGAGAAATGAAAATTGTGAGGTTCTTCAGCGCGGCCGCGTCCATTTTTGTGCTGTCCGCGCTGGAAGGTTCAGAGAGTGGCATCTTGGTTCAGTCTTCAGCGCCGCCGCGGTGCACTTTTATGCGGTCCGCGCTGGGTCTTCAGGGAGGGTATATAAAGTCGAGAATTTCAATTATTTTTCACTTTTTCAAAAAAAACCCAAAACCTAAGAGGCGATTTTCCAAACGATTCTTCTTCTTCAAAACGATTGGTAAGTAATTTCTAACTCATTTTCTTCACTCCTTAACATCTTCAAACACAAATTCCAACTTCAAACAAAGATTTTAATGGAAAAATTTGGGAATTTTGGGTAGAACCTAGGTTTTCTAAAATTGGGGGTTTTGGACCTCAATTCGAGGTCCGATTCCAAAATAATTTATATATTTGAATTCATGGGGGAATGGGTAATCGGGTTTTGGTTCGAACCTCGAGTTTTGACCATGTGGGCTCGGGTTTTGACCTTTTGGGGAAAAGTGATGAAAAAGCTATAATTAGACATTGGGTTTGATTTGCTTAGCACATATTGATAACATGAAATCATTATTGCATAGATTTGGTTGAGTTGGAGCCGGATTCGAGAGGGAAAGCGGTTGTGGAGGATTGAATTGGCCGTGAAAGTTTGAGGTAAGTGTTTGGTTTAACCCTAGCTTGAGGGAATATGAGTTGAGTCATGTTGCTACTTGCTAATTGATCGAGTACGATGTAAAGGCATGGTGACGAGTATCTATACATTGGTGTCTAGCATGACCGTGGGTCCTTATCTGTGGATAGTTGGTTATTGTTAGGTCTTCCATGCTTAATTGATGGTTCCTATGTGTTGAAAAGACCTTGTGAAAGTAATTGTGATTGTGGAACTTCGTAGAGCATTGGCTCGGCTTGGAATACAAACTTATGAAAGTATATGAGATAAGAAACTCTTGGAGCTTTGGCTCGAGTGGTAATGTGAACTATGATACGAAAATGAAAGAAAGAGAAGAGTAATGATTTATCCCCTTGCCGGGTTGTTATTGGTTGTTGGTGTGCCCTTGCCGGGATTTCCTTCCAAATACTTGTTTACTCCCTTGCCCTTATTTTGTGATTGTTGCTTGGGTGAGGTGGAGTGATAAATAATATGGATCGGGTTGCGCGCCGCAACAATGCTAAATGCTAATTAAGGATCGGGTTGCACGCTGCAGCAATGATATTTGAGGATCGAGTTGCGCGCCGCAACAATGCTAAATGCCAATTAAGGATCGGGTTGCACGCCGCAACAATAATAAATGATATGGATCGGGTTGCACGCCGCAACAATGATATTTGTGGACCGGGTTGCACGGCGCAACAGTGTTGAGATATATTGGGTCGGGTTGCGCGCCGCAACAGTTATTGATACAAATGTGTTTATTTGGGTATTACTTCTGGTTCGCTGTAAATTCTGAGCTGCCCTTAGATTGCTACTCTGGACTTACTGTTAATATAGTTATCTCCCCACACCATGTTTCCCCCTCCCATATTGTTACTTGCCTGGTATTCGATTTTCGCTGTATATTTATAATTGCACAGGTTTATGTGGTGTCCAGTCTAGCCTCGTCACTACTTCGACGGGGTTAGGCTAGACACTTACCAGCACATGGGGTCGGTTGTGCTAATATTACACTCTGTGTATTTTTGCACAGGTCCAGGTTTCGAGCAGCAACATCAGCACTAGCACGGGAGCAGACCTTCAGTCCAGAGAGACCTGAGGTAGCCTTGCAAACGTCCGCGAGCCCGGCGTCTCCCTTCCATCCTTACATTAGACTGTCATCTCATTGTATTCGAGATAAACAGATTTATATTTCTTTCAGACTTTATATTTAGCACCTCTTCGATGTTCGTAAGTATGTGACTCCAGTTCCGGGGTAGAGATTCACGTTAGAAATTCGTATTTTTATTCAGCTATCTAAATTTAAGGCTTCCGCTTATGATTTTAATTTCGTTGCTTTTGTTTCAATGCTGTTAGTCATCATGTGTGTAATGGGAAGCTGTATAGGTTGGCTTGCCTAGCTCCTATTAGTAGGCGCCATCACGACCCCCGAGGGTGAGAAATCCGGGTCGTGACAATATTATGTTGGAGTTCTAGTGTACTTATGCTGGAACTCCATCATATTATGCTGGAGTTCCAGCATACTTATCCTGGAACTCCAGTATAATATGCTGGAGTTCAAGTATACTTATGCTGGAACTCCAACATAATATATTGGCGTATTTTTTCGGGTTTTGAACAGTGTTTTCGCTCTGATTTATCTTTACATGAAAAGTGGCTAAATTTGGATTACTTTTGAAACTGGGCTATTTTTGAACGACCAGTTGTAAATCTGGCTATTTTTGAATTTCACCCGATTTGTACGAAGCAAGAGTCAAAATTGACATCCATTATCCGTAGCCCTTATCGACGTGGATATCACTATATAGTTTTGTATATATTATATTCCGTTTTCTCCTTGAATGACACATCATAAATTTTAATAAATAAAATTAAATGAATTATTTGCATACGTCATGATGACATAATATTTGAAGCTATCCTAAGAGTATCAGAATCTTTGATTATGTCATAGCAGTGACTAAACAACATTAGCAACTTAATCAGTTAATTTAGATATTAAATTAAGTAGTAACAATTAACAATATTACAAATTAAATTTATAAATTTTGAAAGAGAATTGGCCCTTGCCATTTGGACATTTGGAGTTGGTGGAGTCAAACAAAGTTTCTATATATTTATCCATTATATTAGAGCCTATATTATATCCATTAGCCAAATAATGGCCAAGAAAAACATACAATGAATTTCGAGGTTCATTATCCACAGGCTTTTTCGATGTGGACATCATTGAATTTTTACTTTATCTATAATTTCCCCCTTTTTTCCCTGAGCGACACATCATGAATATTAATAAATAAATAAAAATTTATTGAACTATTCTTGTTCATCATGGTGATAATATTTTAATTTTTTCATTTAATGACACTCCAATGCCACAATATGTCCGGTCAAACTAGTTTGGCCATAAGATTTTTTTTTTTTTTTTTTGTCGGAATCAGTGTTTGTCCATAAAAATTTCAAATTTTACTTGAGGTTGAATTTCAAAAAATTTCAAAGATTTGAAAAATCCCAACAAGCTGTTTTTCAAAATTTTCACTTCAAGTCACTCACAAAATTCAAAAATAGCTTCAATTTGTATTCATATCCAAACACAACTCTAATTTTCAAATACCATTTTCACTCAAATTTTTTTTCTTCACTTTTTCCGAAAATTTATAATTCTTATGCCCAAACGCCCACTAAGAGATATAAATTGAAACGGGGGAGCTAAGAGTATTGGAATCTTGATTATTTCATAACAATGGCTAAATGCAAATTAAACAACTTAATGTGTTTTTATTGAAACACGAAGGTTAGACCATCCAAACTTGTAGTGTAGTGGTAAATATTCATTCATTCTTAACCAAAGGTATCAGATTTGAGCTCTAGGCTCACCTATAATAGGGAGCGGTTTACACTTCAAAGTAAGACTTGCCAACATTAGAAGTAAGCTCCAAAGGTGAAAAAAGCACGGACTAGCCAGTTTTTGGATTGGTAATTGATAATAGACAGCGTTTGCAAAGTCATTAAAAAATAGCCACTATTTTGCTTCAACAAGAAAAGTTCCAGCATAATATACTGGAGATTGGTGCACCTGTGTATGAACTTTCAGCATATCATGCTGGAACTCCAACACATGGAAGTTCCAACATAATATACTGAAGATTGGAGCACCTATGTATGAACTTACAGCATATTATGCTAGAACTCCAGTATATTATGCTGGAAGCTCACATGTAAAAACTTCGAACTCTAGTATATTATGCAGGAATATTTTTCAGATTTTTGAACAGTGTTTTCGTGCAGATTTATCTTTACATGAAAAATGATTAAATTTCGATTACTTTTGAAATCGTGAATATTTTTCAATTACCACTTATAAATCTGGCTGCTCCAAAGCGAATACAAAAAACCGGCTGAAAAACTCCAAAAAAAAAAAAAAAATCTCAAAAGTTTGGTGATCACGGTTAAAAATACATATTTTGAACTTTTTTATTTGGAAATTAAAGAAACAGTTAATACTAGTAATTAGTATAACGTTAGTTGAACTCTCCGTCAAAGGAAAAAGAGGAAAGAAAACGTTAGTTGTCCTTGTACTCAAATGGCTATTTCCTCGTAGGCTCTTGCCACTTGGACATTTTTGGGTTGGTAGGTCAACAAAAATTTCTATAAATTCATTCTCATATCAAACAACTCCTCAGAGGATTTCAAAATTTTGAACCCTCTATTATTGATAGCAAAATAAAATTCAAAAAAAGCTTAAAGCATTTGCAATGGTTTCTTCTTCTTCTTCCTCTTCTTTTATTTATATTATTCTTTTGTTGAATTCTTCATTTGGATTTGTTTTTGGATGCTATGAATCTATAATTAGCTTCGGTGATTCGTTAGCCGATACCGGAAACCTCATTCGACTCTCGAAATCCAATAATCACGTTGCTTCTTCCGTACCTCCTTATGGTGAAACATTCTTTCATCATCCTACTGGTCGATTCTCCGATGGACGTCTCGTTATAGATTTTATTGGTACGTATAATAATATCTTTATTTTTATCTTTTACATGACGTGATAGTAAAAATATTTGTTTTACTGTTAATGCACACAGTAGTAAATGGAACATAGATATATGCATGAAAAATCATAAAATTTCAAGAAATATAGATTCTGAACCTATATTATTAAAGTAATTACTATAAGTTCAATGCTAAAAAATCTAAACATCGAACTCATCTACTTTAAATTCTTGATCCGCCTCTGAGTTTATGTATGTGCGCCTTCAATTAAAATACTTGTATTTCGAAGAACACATCCCATTTCCTCTGCATAATTTCCTATAGGTGTCCCATTTTTATGGAATACAGATATATACGTGAAAATTATAGAATTTCAGTAAGGAATAAGTCGAAAATAGTCTCTGTACCTCCAGAATCCAATCCTCCACAAGGTAAGGGCAAGACTGCGTACACACTAGCTATCCTCTCTAGACGTCAGTTGTGGGAATACAATGGATACGTTATTATTTTCGTCGTAGATTGTGAATACTTTGGTTTTAATTATGTTATATGATTTTGCAGCTGAGAGTATGGGATTTCCACTTATACCACCATATGCTGGTGTTATGAAAAACATGACAAGTAGCAGAAATTCAATAAGAGGAATAAATTTTGCAGTAGCAGGAGCTACAGCAGTAGATATATCTTTTTTGGAGAAAAGAGGAGTCAAGAATCCAGCAACCAATGTGTCCTTAGGAACTGAATTGGAGTGGTTCAAACAAATGTTGCCAATTTTGTGCAATTCTCCAACAAGTAAGACCCCACAATATATATATATATATATATATATATATATATATATATATATATATATATATATATATATATATATTATACACGGTTATACACATTATACATGTATTACAAATATAATATATCTGTCCAGGGGTGGATACGCCTTGCGGCAAGCGATGTCACGCTTCGCCGCTTGATTCACAGGAATAATTTTTATTAAATATGTACATATAGATAGCATACAAAATAAAAATATTGGGTATAACTATAAAAAATGACACCACTTTTCATGAAAGTGAATTTATTCATTTATTCATTCAATTTTTCAAAATTTGACATCGGTTACTAAAATTCTTGCGTACGCTCTCTATCTATCGGCCATTTTTAATTAAGGTTGGACCGACTGTTGTTTAAACTAATTTTTTTTTGTTCTCCCTTTTTTTGGCAAACCACCAAGTGGACCAAACCATAGAAGAAAAATATGTCATTTTCGTATCAAAGACGCAAAAAATAGGAGGATAAGAAATTCTAGGCAAGTAAAAATAAAATAAGATTGATATAACCCTAAGTTAGGGAGTATCTCTTATTCTTGTTATATGTTATAAGCAATCCATTATTACATGAACACTCAACTCTACACCAATTTATCTCTCTCTCTCTCTCTCTATATATATATATATATATATGTATGTATATAGTCTTATCATAATATTTGTGTGACTATAAAACTTTTGAAACTTACAGTATTAAACGCATCATAACATTAATCTGTTTAACTATAAAAGTTTGCCATTAAGAATAAAATAGAAAGATTAAATTAAATTATTTCTTAGTTTAATATAATGTCATTTTCTCATACGAATTAATATAAAATAATGTTATTCTTTTAGGAATAGAAGGAGTAGTCATCATCCTCTATAATCATCCACTCAAGAGAGGGACCAACCCCTACAATTCTAGCCTTCCATTTACTTAATGGAAAAAGATTTAATAAGAAAAGACAATGAAAAGGAGTAGTTGAGAAGTTGATCCAACAATAAGTTAAAGCTTTTAAGTAAGGAAAGTGGTTGCTTAAATGTATAGTTAGAAGTAACTACAAATTAAATATAAAAAAGAATTTGTCAATAAAAATAGAAATCTAGTCATACCTAGCTATGTGGGCGTGGTAGGTAAGTAAAGGGACAGGCGGACCCATTTATCTTTTCACTTTACTTTAAAGTTCAGACTCGAAATTCTACCACATCGATCTCGTCTAATTTATTAAGCTCAAAATTAGTGGTTTGTACTTATATTTAGCTAGTTTTTAACACAATAAATGCTCTAAACGCAGATGAACCCATAATTTCTTCACTAGATTTGCTCATGCGTTAATCATAGATGAATTCTATGGACTGACGATATACATATTTACAAATTAGGTCATTTATAAGGTTATAATACATAAATTACTATATAAAATAATATTAATTGGTACCTTAATAAGAAAATAACAGCTAACTTGCTATCATATATATAATTACCTGATAATGTGAAAAAAGTTTGTATCTAATTTTTAATGTATAAAACTTAAAGCCTTGATTAAGAGAATAAAGTGATAAACAAAGAAAGTTAGATTAGTTGGTGATTTATTCCTAAAGGAATATTTGTTTGTTAATTATATTATTAGATTTCTGGATTTCTTACTTAGTCATGTAGTGCTTGATAAAGCTAAAGACTTTTGTTGCTTTTGTTTAGGATAAGCCTTCCCTTCACCAATGACCAACCACAAATAAAATAACCAGATTTAATTAAAAAGAATATTATTAGAGTCCTATTATTAAACGGAATTACTTGAAATAGATGGACAATATCCTTTGTTACTAACTAAAGAAACAAAAGAATTATATAGTGGGGACATCATGTTAAATTCGACGGCTCTGTTTGGATATTTTTTTCTAAATGAGTTGTGAGACATTTGATTTTAGAAATGTTTGATTTATTTCTAAAAATCTTCTGTGTTCAGACTTTAGATGACACGTATACTGAATTGGACTTCCACAATATATTCATTTTGAATAGATACCAAAGAAAAGAAAATCATAAGACAAGTGACAAAGAAACTAACTTTATAAAACATCATATAGAAAAGAAAGAAAAAACAAAGCATAAGATAAAGTGATAAAGAAACTAAAATTTCATCATTATGCTACTAATAAAAAATAAAATTTAAAATTATATACACTGATAATATAAAAAAGTGCTTATAATGTATTTTGACTTGTTATAAAAGGTTTTTTTTCTCATAAGGTTTTATAGAGAATTATTTGTTATTATTTCTTAAATAATGTATTGGTATAAATTCTTACGTCAATACATAGAACTTATACTCTTTGAAATATTAACCAGGTTGCAGGGAGTTTCTTGGGAATTCACTAGTTCTAATGGGGGAAATTGGAGGCAATGATTATAATCATCCATTTTCTCAAGGAAGGTCGAGTGAAGAAGTTCAGACATATGTGCCTGAAGTTGTTAAAGCCATTGGCCTAGCCATTCATGTAAGAATCAATTATAATTTTCATCAAACCCATATTTTTACTTAAAGAAGGGAGCTTTAGAGGTCACGGGTTCGAGCAGTGGAAATAGCTCTTGCAGAAATATAGGGTAAGGCTGTGTACAATAGACCTTTGTGGTCTGGTCCTTCCCTGGACCCCGCGCATATAGGGAGCTTAGTGCACTCGACTGCCAAGGGGAACATTGGAGCAACGGTAAAGTTGTCTCTGTGTGACTTATATATAGGTCACCGGTTCGAGCCGTGGAAACAACATCTTGCATAAATATAGGGTAATGTTGCATGCAATAGACCTTTGTGGTCTGGCCGCGTATCCTGCGCATATTGGGAACTTAGTGCACCGGGCAGCCAAGGGGAGCTTTGGAGCAACGGTAGAGTTGTCTCCGTGTGACCTATATATAGGTCACGAGTTTGAACCATAAAATCCGCCGATGATGCTTGCATCATGGTAGGTTGCCTACATTATACCCTTTGGGTGCGGCCCTTCCCCGGACTTTGCGTAAACACGGAATACTTTGTGTACCATGCTGCCTTTTTTTCTTCTTCCATATATTACTTAAATATTTTCTTAATATAGTAAGTGACACTTTGTTGATTATTTTGCAGGAACTAATTGAACTTGGAGCTCAAACACTTATTGTTCCTGGAAATCTACCAATTGGATGTTCAGCTTCTTATTTAACTACTTTTGAGAACTCAAATAAAGATGAATATGATGCTGAAACTGGTTGTATTAATTGGTTAAACAATTTTGCTGAATATCATAACCAATTACTTCAAGAAGAAATTCATCGAATTCGTGAGCTTCATCCTCAAGCCAATATAATCTATGCTGATTACTACAATGCAGCCATGCACATTTACAAATCTCCAAAAAAATTTGGTACGTAAAATCTACTTTTTTACATTATCATATCATTATAGAAGTAACTGATATACTCTGGCTATATAAATTTTTTATAATATCGGTGTACTTTAACTTGTTGCAGCAGGCTACTAATTCCATTTATTGGTATTAGTTGCATCTAGTTATCTTTTAGGTGACCAGATAGTGTAAAACTTTATGGAATCTTTACACAAATAGTACATAGATTATACACTGATTATACACATATTATACATAAATTATATATTCATTGGCTATTCGGATTCACTATTTACTTTCTTAGCTGGTAAACATAGATTAAACACTAAAAAAAATTTCTCCCAAAAAAGGTATGCAATTGAAAAAAGAAGAATGAAAAAGAGTAACTGGCCATATGATTAAACACTGATTATACATGATGATACACATTATACATGAATTATAAACCCGATGGCTATTTTTATTTATTTTAAGTGGTAGGATGGGTGATATTTAGGCTAATTCTTCAAAATTTATTTACGTTGTCAGTATATAAAAGTTTATAAACTCTATCGTTATTTCTCGAACTTTCTGAAAACATCAATTTGGAAGTTCATTAATTAACAATTTTGTTAATAATTGTGTAGGTTTTACAAGCACAATTGTAGCATGTTGTGGAGGAGGAGGTCCATACAATTATGATTCATTGACAAGTTGTGGTTCACCACCCTCAAATGTTTGTGAAAACCCTTCTTCATATGTTAGTTGGGATGGTATACACTTGACAGAGGCAGCATACAGATTAATAGCCAAAGGTTTATTACAAGGTCCATACACAATTCCTAGAATAAATGAACTTTGTTCTTTTGATGGCTTAAGTAAGGGAAAGTCAGACCAGTAGCATACTACGGTCTAATGGCGCTCGCAACCTTCAAATTCTAGATCTGTCTCTTGTATAGAAAATTGTATATAAGTGTCCAATATTCTAGAGACTCAACTTGAAAAGATAGATATAATTGAGCAACTTGGAATTGTAACATATATACACCAACTTTAGCTTGGATTTGATAGAGAGTGAGCACTATTACAAGTTTGAAAGTAATCATGTAATTAGTCATGATATGTATATCTAGCTTTCTTTAGGTTTACATTTATTAATTTATTATTAGGCTGAACCCCAAATCAAAAGTGTTTGCAGGTGTGTCCACTTATTTTCTTATTCAAGTTCAATTTTAGAAAGTTCACATTCTTATTGATATTGTGGTGGTCGCATATAGTTCAATTGTTAATTTGTATATATTAAATGAATTTCTTAAAATAAATACGAAGTTTATAGCAAAACTATTGCATTAATTTTCTTACTTTTCTTCTGCTCCAAAGGCTATGATTCGGTTCAGGAGAGGATTTTTTGTACAAGTTTCCTTTTTTTTCTCTGGACAAGATACTAAGCTAGCGTTTGGCCATAGATTCTCAAATTTGTTTTAAAAAATCTGACTTGAGTGAAGTTTGGTTTGAAGATGAAAATCTGTTTAGACATAATTTTTCAAACAAATTTCACTTTTTTTTTTGGAAAAACATGAAATGTGACTTATATCCATAAGTTCTAAAAACTATCAAAAATAACCAACAATACCAAACAAACAAACTTGCTAATATTGTATATGCAGAACCTTCATCGATTCGATTCATTATCATTATCACAAACCATAGTCCTGAAAATAGATAAGTTTGGCATAAAATTATCATTTTTATAATGAACTACATGATACATTATCCTAAAATCATAACATGATATTTCAATATCAACTGCTAATAACACAATTACTAGCCACTATAATTCGTCATTTGCAAAAATATTACAAGATCCATCGGTCCAAAAAAAAATGGTAGTAATTAGCTGGTGGTTAGTTGGGTCATAATAGATGGTGGACAATTTTATAAAGTACAAAGGTTTGGGATAAAGTTTGAAATTGTTAAAAAATCCAACAGTGATATTTTGGGCCAAAAACAGGTCTAGAGCTGGTTTTGGGATTTGAAAATTTTATTCTCAAAATTTGCCAAAACATGAATAACATCTATAAACAAACATGTTCTGCCAAATTTTTTTTGGAAAAAACTTAACAAAATTTATGGCCAAACGGAGGCTAAAATAAGAGTTAAATTAATTTAAACCATTAGTATTTAAGGAACTTTTAAATGATCAAGTCACATTTATCTATTGTACTAGGTATTCTATTTTATTTTAAAGATTACTGACACCGTATTTTAAGGAGGCTTACCTCTAGATATCCTTTGGATATGTCACGACCCAAATATCACTAGTCGTGATGGCACTTAACTCGACCCGCCAGGTAAGCCAACTAACAGTCAATACAATACAGTGAGATTTATAGGAAAACAGTGAAGAATTATCTAAACATTTATATGTTAACCCAAGGTCTGGTAGTACGAATCATGAGCTTCTAAGACTTGGAATTTACAAAGCTGGTACAAATAATTACACGATCTGTTTGAAAGTTACATAAACAGATTAGCAAAATCTAAAGCTACTAAGGACAAGTGGCAGCTATATACGGAATGCACGAACATCTTCAGAGTCAGCTTCCGACATCACCAGCCGCTCCGCTCCAAAAATCTGCACGCAAGGTGCAGAAGTGTAGTATGAGTACAATCGGCCCCATGTACCCAGTAAATATCTTGTCTAACCTCGTCGAAGTAGTGACGAGGCTTTTTAGCTAAAAGATACTCACTGATAAAACCTATACCGAAAACTAGCAATAGAACTATACTAAGATATAACATAAAAGTGTACATGAAATGAATATGCAAAGCAATAACTGAGTACACGAAGAGATCACAATTTAACATTTTCCAATATCTCGACCAATCTTTTCCTTAGTGCGAAAATCAATAAACTACGATAGTCACTCCGTAACTTTCATAACGTGAGGAATGTACTCAGATATCAAGTGAATTGCATGACAACACCCTTCGTGCATTTATCTCATCCTCACCAAATATGCGTATAACAGTACCAATTGGATGGCAGAAATGCCGATAACAGTAATGTCAAGTAGGAAATGCGCAAGTAGCAATAATGAACGAGGATTTACATATGGGCAACAACAATAGACTAGGCGGAAGGCATAAGAGTAATGACAACATTTAGGAAAAAGGAATATCAACTTCAACTAAATAGCATGGTGGAGGCCTAAATATAGATATAATAAATAAGAAGGGAACACATGATCTTTACAAGTTAACAAGTAGAGGCATGAATGACTAACATGAAAAAAGCCTTGTACTAAAGTGCAACAAAATGGATACGACATGGATGTATTTATAACAACAGGAAGTAGGCATGGTATTTGCAAGTTAAGCAAGTAGAAGGCATGGGCAACACAACAACAATTGAGATAGAGAACAAGGACATGAAAATAACGACAAGTCACATAAGAGCTATAAGTACGACAATAACAGCTCAAGGTTAAGGCATGAGCGTATACACGAGGAAAAGATATCACAATATAATGCATATCCCTCATCCTCGCTTGCACGGAAACACCCCTCGTGCCATGAACTCGTGATAATATAAATGCATGACAATATAAATAAAATGGAACGGCATCACCCTTCGTGCTTTACTCCTAAATGAATGGCACGACATCACCCTTCGTGCTTTACACTCACATAACATGGCACAGCATCACCCTTCGTGCTTTTACTCTCAAATGATATGGCACGGCATCATACTTCGTGCTTTACACTCACATAACATGGCATGGCATCACCCTTCATACTTTACACTCACATAACATGGCACGGTATCACCCTTCATGCTTTACACTCTCCCTTACCAAGCATATGTATATCAATGACAAACAAGGTAGGAAGCATAAATAACGTCAAGGAGAGTGTTTAAAGGGATATTCCAAATGAACCCCAATAACAACTTTCAAATCAACAATAATTCAATAAATCCTCAAGAACCTTATTATTCAAGTACTTCAATAAATATCAAGAATATCGGCCGTAACAATGTATTGATGATTAAGCATAATGATGACCGAGTTAGACACATTAATGTTTCTTAGAATTCCGTCAAATTGTAATCAAGTTATAAAGAACTGAATCTTGATTTCTAACATTTAATTCTATGTTCTTAGTATCTAGGAGTCAAGTAAGACATGAAGCAAGAAGGTCATATGAGGCACAATTCATAACATAATCTACCCTCAAACATGATTAACCCTGGCACATGCATATATGCTCGTCACCTCATATATGTATCACCCTCGCATGTAGAAAATAATATCAAATAGTAGGAAAAATTCTCTCAACAAAGTTAGGCAAGACAGTTACCTCATTTCGGCCAACTAAATACTCAACATAGCTTTTTCCTTTACAAATTCACCTCCGTCCGGCTCAATTTAGCCAAAGATGACTTAAATACATCACACAATGCAAGAGAAAACAATTTCAATTAATAAAGCTATGACGATGACTTAAATACATCACACAATGCAAGAGAAAACAATTTCATTTAATAAAGCTATGACCTTTATGCAATTTTCAAAAAGTCAACCTCGGGCCCGCCTGGTCCAAACCCGGGTCCAAGGGTATGTCTTGACTATCCATAGCCCCACAAGTCCATATATGTGTTTTGTTTCCAAATTCGAGTCCTATTCGACTCTCAAATTCCAATTTTTATTTTTTAAAACTTAGACAAAATCCCTAAATTTTCCCCTAGATTCTCATGAATTTGATGTTAAATCTAATGTATAATAATAAAATACAATTGAAATTCATTAGAGGTACTTACCCAATGGTTTGGTATGAAAATCCCTTCACAAAATCGCCTCCCATCGAAGCTAGGGTTTAACAAAAATGAAGCTAAGTCTCAGAACTCCTAGCTATATGCAGGCTGCAGTTGTCGCATTTGCAACATGGGGTTTGCAAATGCGAACCCCACAAAAGCGGACAACCCATTGCAAAAGCGAACCAGGCGGAGTCCTGTTAAAGGGGGATTTGCGACCAAAATATCGCAAATGCAAAGACAGCTACCTTCGCAAAAGCGAACAACCCACACTCGCAAATGCGAGGAATATCTTTTCAATGCGAAGTTTTCCTCAGCAGCCCAGGTTCGCAAATACGAGGCTACTTCGCAATTGCGAAAAAACATCAAAAATGCGATGTTACCAGTAACAACACTCAAAAGAATCATGAAATTATTCTGAAACCAATCTGAAACTCAGCCGACCTCCGAGGCTCCAAACCAACCATGCACACAAGTCCAAAAACACAACACGAACTCGCTTGCGCGATCAAAACATCAAAATAACCTTTAAAAGCACGAATCGGATGCCAAAACGTATGAAGATCAAAGTAAACTTCAAGAACTTCTAGAATCGCAACCAAGCGTCCGATCCATATCAAATCAACTTCAAATGGCGCCAAATTTTGCAAGCAAGTTCCATATGACGAAACAAACCTACTTGGGGCTTCAAATCTGTGATGACCTTTTTGGGTCATCACTCGTTCTGAAAGTAAATTATGTATTTCGAGGCCTTAAAACTCCCTTTTTGCATCACCTTGATTTGCGTGTGCAGTCCGGGCATGTAACCGGAAGGCCATTATGTGAAAATCTGTGAAAAATAATAAATTTTGCTTTTAAATAAATTTAAGTTGACTTCGGTCAACATTTTGGGTAAGCGGAACCGGACTCGAGATTTGACGGCCCCGTAGGGTCCGTAGGAAATTATGAAACTTGGGCGTATGCCCGGAATCAAATTCCGAGGTCCCAAGCTCGAGAAAAGAATTTTTAAAGAAAATTATTTTCTCGAAAATATATGAGTTTTTGGAAATAAAATGTGTTTGAAATTTGATGGTATTGGGCCCGTATTTTGGTTCCGGAGCCCGGTACAGGTCTTATATGTGATATAAGTTGAGTATGTGAAATTTGGTAAGAAACGGACTTGAAATGACTTGAATCGGACCTTATTTGAGAAAATTGGAAAATTTGATGTTCTTAAGTGATTTCATGATTTTGATGCTAAATTCATAGTTGTTGATGTTATTTTGGTGATTTGAATGCACGAGCAAGTCCGTATGATGTTTTTGGGTAAGTGTGCATGTTTGGTTTGGAGCCCCGAGGGCTCGGGTGAGTTTTGGATAGGCTACGGAGTGAAATTTGCACTTAAAAATTTGCTGGTATGTTGCAGGCCTGCAGGCTTCGCATTTGCGAAGCCTGGCTCGC